AGCTGCAGTGTTTGCAGGCACAAAATAGGCAAGGCTACTCCCTCTTATAAACAGTAATGGATAGGATGAAACAAAACCTCTTCACTTTTGGTTAACATTGAAGATTGACAAACTGCCGAGGAGAGTGAAGAAATTCACAGGCTAATATAATGTGTAGGGCAAGTGTTCTTTTCCACAGCTCCCAGGAACATTCTACCCGTTGGAGCCAGAGACTGATTTTTTTTCTTGATATTTCAAACCCAAAAGATTCAGTCTCCAGACTGGGTATTTCAACTCTGTGAAGTCATAAACTATATCTAGTTTAACAGTTTTCTCACTGCCTAATGAAAATGAAATTCACTTGGTTGCGTTTTTATGGGGATAGGCAGGATAGCAGTAGCTTTGAGCATATCACTAGGGAGGAGTTAAAAATAGATTTTTCTTGAGGCAGTGACTTATATGGCAGACAGTAGACAGAAGAGAAAAATTAAGTTAAATTTTGGGCTTGTATCTCAAATACTAAATCTGAATTCCTCTAAAGATTATTTTAAGAGAAAAATTGAAATTGCTTTCATTTGAAGATAATAAATGTTTAGTCTGGGTGTGCTATTGAAATATTTTTCCAGATTAAATTCAACATATAGCAATATGAAAATCTTATAACTTGTTTTTAGTTATGGCTTTGGTGGAGTAACCGAGGCAAACTAGATTATGGGTGAGTAACCATGGCTTAGTGATACTAATTGGAGTCTACTGCAGCCAAGATCATAAATAGATCAGGGAAAGGCCAGGAATTAATTATGCTTTTGAATCCTAGTATTAAAATAGTAAAATAGGTTTGATAAGTTTTCCGTATCCCAGTAACTTTGAATGTAGATAGTGAGAAGCCTTCATTATATTTATTTTTGCTAATTTATCATGCACAATGTCTGTTTTTTCATGGCTCGTGTTTTCTTGTAGCACGTCACACTGACAGCAACTATTAACTTTGCACAAAAATAAAGAAGTAATATTAAATTTAACTAAGTTTTAACTGTTGCTGTTCTTTTTAGCTTACTTGACTCAGAGTTCTTCTATCCCGTGAGCTGCAAGCGTGACATTTGCTGTGTTTTCAGCACTTGCCGGCTGGGAAACCAGGGTTTGTGCTCAGGACACGTAGGTCCCTAACCCGCACTGTGTGACGCACAATGCCCTCCCGGCTGGCTGGCTTGTACCTCGGTGGTGCTAGATGTGCGGTCACAAAGCTGTGCAGATTCACAGGCGCTGATTTCAATAGGCACTCCCCTTCAGGCTGCTTTCACCTATCATTTTGTATCAAAGGAGTTAGATTGGGATCATGAAATTTACTGTTGTGGTTGTTTTTCAATGAAAATAAGTTTTATTTCATTGACTCAAAAAGTAACTGTCTGCAAGAACTGAAGGACCTCTTATAAAATGTGCATGTGTATAGATATGGGGTGTATCTATACAACTTTATAACAGAGCTATAATCCATTTTCATCAGTGGAAAGGTTTCAGAACACGAGATAACAGAAGGTAAAAAACAGGGATGAGTGAGTCAGAACATGCTTCTGTAGGGAGGGCTGTTAGTTGTACTTGGATCATAGATGTGGGAACAATTACAGAATTTTTTTTTTTTAACAAGATCCACGTAAGAAAGTCGCCCCCATAGTAAGTTCAGATTTTTGGCTTCCATCCATAACCCAAACTTTCCATATTTTCCAAAGAGGTGTATTTTGCTCACTTGTTCTCAGCAGCCAATCTCTTTGAAAAATGCTTCAGGTGGACTTGGTGACTCTGTCTTTCCATCATCTATTATAAGAAATTTTAAAAGGTTCTGTTTTTAAAAAAGATCTTTTCAGATGTAGAAAGGACGGTGTGAAATGTGAGTGACTGGCTTTTAATACCACAGTTGCCACAAAGCGGCAGTGGCTTTCTGAGGCTGAATAAAGGCGTTAATACACACACATCTGCATACTGCTGTTGGGTGCAGTGTAGGATACGTTTGATGTTTGTTTCACTCACTTTGTTAGTCTAAAAAGAATATTATTATTCTGAGACAAACTGGTTTATCATTTTTTAGTGGTGAGCCCTTTTTAAAACCGTAGGCGCAGATAGATTTGATGGGAAAAACTGAACACATTGACTGGTCCTTAATCAAACTTCAAAGCGTAGCTCCTTGTTTGAATATCACATTTATCATGTTCTAAAGGCACAAGAATAAAACACCCACTAACCACCTAGGACACTCCTCAGTGCATATCAAAACCCAACCTTTACCTCTGCACAAATGTGCTTAGGTGAATACTTTTATTAGCTTGTTGATACAAGTTATAGTTGGTCACACCCTTTCTTAATAAAATACACCCTTTTGTCTCCTGTTGCTTAAGAGCTTTAAACTTGGAAGTGGGGAGCTCTCTACATAGAATGATACTGTTTGACTCTCCCAGGTGGTTCTCAGTGGACATGTGATGCTTACCATACACACGGGCATTCCTCCATTTGGCAGTTCTGTTTTGAAGGGCGCCGGGAGAGCCAGTATTGCTGTTTTATCCCTGGGTTTCATATATTGGTCTTGGAGTGAGACTGTATGTAATCTCTACATTTTCTATTTCCCAGGGTGTTCTATGGCTTACCCAGATTAGTTTGGGTTGATAATGGAAAAGTTACAAGTGGTCGTTTTTGGATTACTTATGGATTTATTCCTAAATTGGCCTATGAATTTGTGTTTAGATGTCTGGTTGTGCTGTAAATCTGGTTTTGATTTGGTTTTTGACCTTTCTGATTGAACGAAGGTAGACAGTTTACTCCCCTTCCTCTGATTGCTGCTTACATTGCTTTAAATCCAGAGTTCAACTGCGTTTATGTTTACTCTTCTGAATTGAGCCAACCTCTAATATACAACCTTTTGGATAGGATTTTTTATGATAAAGAACTATGTAGTATAGCCCTAAACAGTGGGGTTGTTTTATATCCATAGGACTTACATAATGTGGGAAGAGCCTACAGTATAGTATGGAAGGTTAAGTGACACAGGCCTTAATGTATGTAATTTTAGCCTTTGGAGATTTAAATTAAATACATGAGAGATAGCTGTTCATTGGTTAGTAGCACACCTCCTTAAGCAGGTATTTTCGTTCTGTACACTCTCAAGAAAGTCTCAGAACCAGAAAAACAGGCTGCTTTAGGTTAGAAAGGCTTTTTACAGTAAAGGAGCTTGCCATAACCACAATCCTTGGAATTTTGTGAGCCTAAAATCATCCTGAAAGCAACAAGAATAATGGTTGCAATAATTGTTTCCAGGCTCAGGACCCCTGCATTTTGTTTTTTAAGTTGACCCGATGAACTAGTAATTGCAGGAATAAACTGAATGTTTGCCAGCAGGAGTCACTCTAGGCCTCCTAATAAAAAGTAAATTAAACTATATCCTTAAAGCTCTCAAAGGCTGAGGTGACACTGTGATAAGAAGACATTAGGGAAACGTAGCAGCATCTCATTATCCCTGTGCCTTTCTCTGCCACCTAGGAAGACTTGGTTCTTTGCTCCTTTGAAAAATTGGCCCTTGATATATATATATTTTAAAGCAATGTTTATTGATAAGGCTGTCAATATCATAGTTATTCTGCATATTAACTCATGTTGGCTTTCTTAGGGTGACTTGATTATATCTCACATCATCTGCTGGAATGAATAGATATCCTTCTGATTCTCGTCCATCCTGGTCTTGCAGCAGAAGTCACTGGAGTGAGCTGTAGTTAGTGTGAAAGGAGATGTTAGCTCATGTTTTCCGAAAAAGAATGAGTCCAGTGTGATGAGAAGCTGAAATATTTCAGCAATAGCCATGAAATATAATAGCTTCCTAAGTGCACACAAGCTCAAAAAGTTAATTGTTCATTTATGTTTGATACTGGGATTGAAACATTGGATTAAAACCAATTAAATGTTCCTAGAAGCAACAGAAAAAGTTTCCTGATTTATGAATAGAACCATTCAAATGGCGCAGACACAATCCATGTAAAGTAATGAGGTGTTTTGTTTTTTTGGCAAAGGAGAACACCAAACAGGCATAGGGAGTCCTTTTTTAAAAAACAAAACAAAACAAAAAAAACCTTCTCCTTAAAAATCTCTCTTTGGATACAAGGTCAATAAAATAACATACACCAATAGGAAGGAGTAATGGGAAATCTAGGGCTTCACTTCACAAGGAAAACAAGCCCCTCCCCCAGGTGAGCCGCACAATGAAAATACTCTGCTTATTCTATCAGGGTTACATTCCTGAACTTAAGTCAACATCCTAAGTTACAGAACTAAACATGCTCTGCCTCTGCTTAGCAACCGCAAATCCTTCCTTCACCAGTTGCATAGATTTTGGATGTGGCTTCTGAAGTATACATTCTTTTATTTCGATCTGCACCCCGAGTTAGGAGACTAGCGCTTTATTTTCCCAAAGTGTGACAACACTAACACGATCCCCCCCTACCCTGCCGCCCAGCACGCCACTGAAACGAACGTTTCTTTGAAACCTCAAAAAACCAACAACCCGGAAGCTGGACGTCTGAAGTCCACGCGGCCCGGGGTTTTCGTCCCGGCTTGTGCGGGGGGCAGGGGGAGACACCCGCGGGGCTCCTGGCGCAGGGCCCGGACGGCAGCGGCGGCGCGTCAGGGGCCCGGGGCCACCGCCCGCGACCCGGGGCCTCGCAGGCGCGAGCTCGGCGAGCAGCGCGCAGCTCCGCTCGCAGGACGCCCTCTAGCCCCGCCGGCGGCGCGCCGCGACCCCCCCA